AATTTATTTATAAGCACATTTAAAAACAACACGGGTTGAGCCAAAGTGCTGCACATAGTAGAGATAAAACAGTAAACATACATAGTAATTACTATAAAAGACTAGTCATAATTGAAAGCTAGAGAGTACAAATGTGTTTTCAGTTGGGTTGTAAAAATGTCGAGTGTTGGCAATGACCTAATGTGAAGGGGCAGACTGTTCCTGAGTTTAGGTGCAGCGATCGCAAAAGCTCGGTCATCCCTGTTTTTCTGGGGATAGTCAGAAGCAACTTATCTGCAGACCTAAGGGCTCTACTTGGATTATCTTTTGTTAAAAACTTTTAGAGGGAAACTGGAGCTACTGATCCGTCTTGCTGCTGAACATCAGCCTCACCTGTTCAGCTTGCAGAAGAAACAGTTAATGTGCTAAATGAAGGCCTTTGGGGATGGTAAAAGAGCACAGTGAACTCACAGCAAACAGCAAATATCAAATATCAGCAAATATCAAAGTATAGCATATTGTACCTTGTAGAGTACAGCTGTTCTTGGGCTGCTGCTGTCAGACTCTTCACATTTCTCAGTGAATCAGAACAACCCCTGGACTTCAAAAATACGACTCAACCGTGAACCTTTGCCACTATGGCCTTTGAATCGGGAGACTTCTTGTTTTTCCTGCAGTAACTTCACCTGCCAACACCGGCTCCTTCTAACCAGGTGCTGAAGTTTGACAGGCCAAATTATATCCAGTCTCTTTAAATTGGGAGGTTTTCTGTTGCACTAAAGGATGTCTCGGTTCTAGCGGTGAGTTCTTATCTCAGGGGATCAAATTCTGCTGTTTTGTCAGAAGTGCTGTTGCAGAGATACACACAAGATGGGCTTCAGTGTTGGAATATATATCACAAGTTTTTTTTTTAGTCTTCTGTCAATTTTAGGACCTTTTTTGCTTTTTTTGATTCACTTTTTACTCTCCTGTTTGTGGTTGGTTTTGCAGTCTACTGCACATCATCAGCCCTGCATGCTGGACAATTATGCCAACTGTGTGTTTAATCATGGCACCAGAGGGTTCTTTATGTCGCTGGTTACAAAGTGAGAACCATCTCGCTACTGCCACAACCAAAGGACAACTTGGCCTTATCTGTGAAAGGCAGGCAGCAGGTGAAATAGCAGTACTTGCCACCCACGAATGACAACACGCTAAGTATGTAAATACTTAAGATGTAGTGAAACACAACCATCAGGCGACTGGCATGACAGAGGAGAGGAAAACATGATCTACTGCAGGAGCAGCCGTGCACAGAAGAACAATCATATGTTTTATATTCAGTTTAAAACAAATGCAAATGAAATCAAATTTCCTTGAGCCAGTCAGGAATAGTTGTAAATGTTGGCTGTGACTGAGCAAACACTGCTGGGAGACTTTAGCTCCTGAGGTTAAATGTTTGAAGAGTTGATTAACTCTTTATTAAGAGTTCATCAGTGAGGGATTTAAACCTGCAACCTTCCAGCAGCACAGCTGTGAGCCATCTTCTGCAGGGACGGGTCAGCTGGGTTGGTCCACACACTCCAAATAAGAACAGGAGCCAATAACAGCCTGCTGTGACTATAAATAACCACCACAGCACTTTACTCTTCATTTACATAAAGACCTATAATGGCTGTGTAATGGTTTAAATATTCATCATGCTTCCTTTGCATTCCACATACTGCTGAATTATGAAAGGAAAACTGTACTGAAGTGAAGCCCAAAGATGTTCTGCAGAAAATCTACAGTATGGACAATAAAAACAAACAAACCTACATGAAGAAATTCTATTTCTTCATGTTCAGCCTCCAGTCAAGACCACACTTGAGTCTGCCTGATGTGCCACAGCACATTTTAGGAGTGCCCGCAAGTAGCTCTCCTCTCTGCTTAACTTAAAGCAGCAGTATTATTACTGCTATAGCTTCAGTTTTTATAGAAGGCACATGACACAGAACCGATGAGATCAACAGGAAGTCAGACACAGAAAATTCAAAATAAAAGACCCTGTGCAGACTAAATGAGGTGACACCAACTGAAGGCGAGAATAAAACATCAAAAACAAGTAGTAAATATTGCCACGATCATTGCAATGATAATGAGACAATTGGCAGTAAATGAAGACCAGCTGATCTTTGCTATAATCTCTGCAGAATTCTGTCAGACTCATGTTTCACATCTCAGCACACTCAGTGTGAGTCTGAGCTTTGTTTGCTGTATACATCATTCATACTCATATTTAGTACAAAGTCCTGTGTTCCAACCTGTGCGACACATCTGTCTGTTTCCTTTATTTAGTCAGAAATGAGCCTGAGGTAGGAGCCCTGCAGACCGAGCAATTTTCCCTTTACACTAATGAAGACATCATATTCTTGTCTGTGTGTGTGTGTGTGTGTGTGTGTGTCTGCTCTTCAGTCACAGTATCGCTAAGCCTTGTGATTCCTTCAGTGCCTGCAGACATTAGAATCACAGTCACGTTCCAGCGGACATTTCGGACAAAATGGTCCCGAGGAGAGAGACTGTGTGCGTGTGTGTGTGTGTGTGTGTTAAAATCTCTAATATATCTCTCTAAAATCACAGAATACGTTTTTGGAGTGACAACATTACAGTATTACACTGCACAAGATTAAAAACACTTCAGAGTATCTTACTGACTGTATGACCACCCAGGCAGGCCTGCACTGTCTCTGCTGGTAAATTACAAGATCATTCTGAAAAATCCTCTAATTTATAATAATTCTTATGTAAAACAAAGTGCCAATACCATGAGATGCACCATGTCATAAAATTCACGGGTGGTAAACAACCTGCTTCTAATGAAGACTCGCTACAAGCAGTATTTAAGTGGTTGAATAATAATAATACTAATAATACTAATAACAACAACAACAACAACAACAACAACAATAATAATAATAATAATAATAATAATAATAATAATAATAATAATAATAATTGGTAATTTACTAACCCTAAGTGGAATTCATTGCATCCCATTTGTGTAGGAATTTGGTGTATACAGGCAGACAGGCTTGCGTGCAGTCCTCTAAAAATAAACTTGTTGTGTATTCTGACTGCGGTTTTCTCTGAGGCAGGAAGAAAGCTACGTTTGGAAGCTTTCCATTAGCATCTGAAGCTGTTTTGAGGGTCAACAACTGGCTGGCACTGAGTCCATGCAGCTCATTTATAGGTATTAAATTCTAATTTGGTGGCATCTTACTCAAGGCTTCATATAAAGGGAATCGTCTACAAAGCCTCAAAATCTTTGTTTGGTCCTCCTGGTATCTGAATGAAAACAGACATAAGTGAATAACCACCTTAGAAAAAGAAAAAAGTAACACATATTACAGTCAGCCCATAAAAAAGATGATCCCACGATGCCCCTTCACAGTTGCCTCCTTATGCACCTCCAAACTTCAAATCTCTCCAATTTCATCTCGAGTTGCATCAAAGCCACGTCACAGGATCAATTTCATCTAAAAGGGTGAAGAGGAGTTCACCAAAGCTGCAGCACTTTATGACAAATAAAGAAACACTAAACAAAGACATGTATTTGGTACCAAAGTATTAATAAGTCATATTCAGACATGACTCCATTCAATTCAATTTTATTTATACAGCACCAAATCACAACAATAGTCACCTCAAGGTTTATATTGTATAATACATACAGAGAAAAACCCAACAATCATATGACCCCCTATGAGCAAGCACTTTGGCGACAGTGGGAAGGAAAAACTCTCTTTTAACAGGAAAAAACCTCCGGCAGAACCAGGCTTGGGGAGGGGCGGCCATCTGTCGCGGCCGGTTGGGGAGAGGAAAGTTAATCCTTTTGAACAGTGAAACGGATGCACTGTGAAGACCCTTCGATCATGATAAGATCATAAAAATGAATCAGATTAAAACTTTGATCTCTTCTGCTCACATATTTGTTTCATTGATTTGTGAAATCAGACAGTGTGAGCTTTTGCCTCCTCCCTCAGCTCAGCAGGAGCAGCTCGGTGTGTTTTAGTGAGGGCTCCTCTCCCTTCCCGTAACTCAGATCACAGACACGTGATTTACCACTTTTACGAATATTAAAGGTCTGCGCGCTCAGTCTTTAGTAAGTTCGCTGATATTTCCTCAGGGTATCCGCGTTTGAGGGGCAGAAGCTCATACCCAGCTAGTGACACCTCCCCCAGCCAATCATCGGCGTCCTTCAGCCCCGCGCAGCCCAATGGGGCACGCTGTGGGCGTGTCCGTGCGCGGTGAGGGGCTTTTTCGGAGTTTGGTAAATGACTGCAGCAAGAAAGCAGACCGGAGCGCACGAGGCTGTGTCCGCCTCCGTGTTTCACCTCCGTGCACCTGTGTGCGCGCTCTCTTCCGCCATGGAACGGGTCCACACGAGTCGGCGAGCACGTTAACGACACTCCGACGGGATTGCTTTTTGTTCTTTCTCTCGGTTTAGCGGAGCTGGTGTTCTGGTGCTGGTACTGGGGCGGGAGCGCAGCGGCGGCCGCCGGTGAGTCTCCAAGTTGAGCGGCAGCGGACAATGGGAGCAGCCGAGCCGGGCTGCTGCAGAGACCGCTACTACTACTGCTCACCCCGGGGAGCCGCCGCCGAGCAGCAGGAGGAGGAGGAGGAGAGGGAGAAGAGGAGGCACACCTGCTCCACCTGCAGACCCCCCTCTCCGAGCAGCAGCCCCGTACGGGTCCGGGACGTGTGTAGGATGTGGGTAAGGAAAGCCGCGGCTCTGTCCTCGCGCTGGATTTGGGGAATATAAAGCGCACGTGCACTCTTCTCGAGCCCTCCTGAGAGCGCGAGCCTCCCGCAGACCCACAGCTGAAGGAACCGGAGGGGATGTGTTTCGTTCCCGCTGTCGGCGCCGCGGACCGCACGCGCTGGACTTTAGAGTGATTGGATGTAACTGTGGCTCAGTTGACAGGATCCCGTGATCTCGTCTCGAGACCCCCACCCACCCCCTCCTCTCCCCCCTATTCTTCCCCCTTTTCCCTCCCCTCCCGAACCAGAACCCGGACGAGCTCCGTACCCGCTGCCCGCCTCTGTCCGTGGTCCTGAACACAGTCTCCTGGCGGATTTAGTGGATTGTTCCCCCCAAAAAACCCTCCTGCGTGGAGGCGTGAGAGCGGACATCAGCATGATTTCATGGAGACTGAGGTCATGAGCATCCCGCGGCTCGGCACCGGCGACTCCGGGATCTGAAACCCCCACACACAGAGACACACACGCAGAGACACACACACAGAGACACACACACACACACACACACACAAAAGGTGGAACATTTTCGGTTCACCTTGGAGGTCATAAACCAGAACCGCGACCCCCCCTCCCCTCTCACCCTCATCTTCCTCCTTCTCTTCTTCCACTAAAGGCTTTTTTTGGTCCTTTTTTTTTTTTTTTTTGGAGGGGACTTCATCCTCTCCAGAGCGTGACCCCCCTCCTCCCCTTCCCACCACCTCCACACACTCCCCCTCCCCTCTAAACAAAATGAGACTGGCAAAAATGTGCCGACTAAACGTGCTGGGGATCTATTTGTGGCAAACGGTTGTGTTTTTCAGGTAAGCAGAAGCATGAAATGGACTTCATGAGTGCAAAATAACGACGTGTGTCATTGCTTTTCAGAAAATGGAAAATATGAATTTGCATTTTTATTGCTTTGCAGCCCTACTGTTGGGCGGGGGGAGGGGGGCGTTCATGTGCAAACTTATGAAAGTTGTGTTTGGGTTGCGTGTCTCATTGCTCGTGAGCATGTAAAGGAAGTTGAATTAAGTTGCAGTGAATCCAGACAGGACTGTAAAAGAGGAAACAGCGACCACTAGCGGGCGATGTGTGTTTATGGTGTCAGCGGTCATGTTTGGGGGAAAGGAGCCTGTCGGAGTCACGTGCTCTCTGACAGTCACGTTAAAGCAGGTGTTGCTCATAGCAGACAGTATGTGGAGGGGACATGGTGAGATTTGTGAATACCTCAAACGGCTCGGAGCAGCCTTGTATCCTGGAAATCCACATTCCCATTTGTCTCACTGGTTCAATAAGATAATCGCTTATTGTGAGTTTTCTTCTTTCATTAACAGACATCCAGTAATCGAGCTCCTTGTACATAATACAGCCAAAGAGGAAAAATGCAGGCACACTGTTTCTGTTGATGGGATAAAACATATTCAGAGACAGTACTTTGTCAGCCATTCAATGCAAACATATTTTTTCATGTAGATCTCCAGGTCATCTCCAGGCCGGCTCCCTGTTTGTCATTGTCCCCCTTTCACAAACCTGCTAAATAATCCTGTACCTGACCAGAACAGGAAGTGGCAGCCATTGTTTTGGTGATGCAGAGGATGACACTCTGTCAGCTGATGACATGGACGTGACATGCTCAGATGGTTTTTTTTAGATTGAACAGTTTTACTGGGGCTGAAAAACTTCAAACCAGTCTTCACCCTCCATTATATAATCATTATTATTTGAATTACTGCTTTGGATGTATTGTTGACCAGATGACCAACACAGATTTTTTTTTTAGGTTGCCAAGATGAGTCCAATTGTATAGAAGTCTATGAGAAACGAGCCCACTGCTCTGTGAGCTCAGTAACAATGGTCTCAGCGGCTGGTTTCAAGTCTTATTCAATGCAACTAGATATTCATTCTCCAAATCCCGTAGATGATACAGTAGTTTCTGCAGACAGTTGTGCAGAGCAGAAGTATGAAGCGCCTTAACTGCTGGAAAACATAAGAAGTGTTTCAAACTGCACTCTACTTTCCAATGTCACAGTTAAACGAGCCGGCTTTCTGATTCTGCGCAGCATGTTGGAAACTGAAAAGGAGCCTATTTATAGTTACCAGCTGTTTCTTCCAATTTACACTGAATGCATATTATAATATTATCTCTCAATATTATTTGCTAACGTGTTTGGGTCCTGTGCACGTTCCCAGCCTGCAGGTTCCTGCACGTTTCGTTTTATTGCATCACACGTGGATCTCATTTCCCTGCACGTCGCTGGGATTTCATTATGTCGAGTATCACTAGTGTTTTTCTACCTGCTGCAGTGACTACTTTCCAGTGAATAAGGCGGCCATTTACCGTGAGGGACATGGTGCTTTTGTAGGAGGGGGCTGCAGGAGTTTTGCATTCAGTGCACACTGTTTAGTTAATGAAGCAGAGTTGGGATATTGCCGTCTCAGCTCCTCACGCCTGGACTCTGCAGTTCCCTGCTTAATTGATATCTCTTTCCTCCATCCTGACCCCCCCACACACACACACACACACACACACACACACACACACACACACACACACACACACCTCATTCCACATTCAGCCTCATTACTAAACATTGATTAGCCCGTCAATGGCTGGGGCCAGACCTGATGAATACACATTTAATGCCTGCACATATCTCGCTCACTCACTGGCTCTGTCCACACTCGTAGTATTCATCAAACAGGCAGCAGAGGAGAGCTAGGAATTTAGATTGGACCTGCAGGAAACATTCATCTAACGACCTGTTTCATCTTGCATTAGGCTCAAATCTGAGATAATGTCCCTTTTCCCTGAAAAAGTCTCCTTTTTTAAATCAAATCAGTTGACGTTTTTAAGAAAATCGGGACTAAAATGTTTTGGAAGAAACTATTTTACTTTATCTACTTTAACTACTTTATCAGCTACAACTGTAAACCCGTGAAGGTTTGTCCAGTCTAAGATTCAGTCATTCCTCATCTCATAAACAATTCGTTGTTTATATTAGGAAGGTTCTAGAAATGACAGTCAGTACCAACACAGCATAGCTCGGATATTAATGTGGACAGTCGGCACAAAATTTATGATAGAAAAATTTATTTTTTTTAAAAAAAGGATTTTTAAATAAAAGTATAAACAGTCTGTTTAAAGTGCACAGGAACATTTGCTGTCCAAGTTTCCTACATGAAGAGCAAATTCATGCAAAAAAAGATATATTTAAAATAATAAATGATACTATTAGTCTGTACTTCATCCAGAGCAGCTTCAGATTATTCACATTAATTGAACTGCTACTGTGGATGAGAAGGTGCAGTGCTACATTATCAGCCAACGCTCGTTATCTCATTGCTTCAATAAACTGTGCAGGTGCAGCGCATGAACAAATACCTATTAATTAACATTATCATTAGTAATAAAGTCATGCCTCACTTATACTAGAGCAGAGTCAAAGAGCCTATTCATTGGCTACAGCTGTCACTCAAACCTTAAAAATAATGTAAACTAGTAAGTTATTGTTTGTATATGTATGGTGTGTGCATAGTTGTTATGAAGGAATTCGAGATGTATGGAACTGAGTCACTGCTGGAGCCCCAGCTGGACGTTTGAGAAACTGCAGTTTAAAGGTAGCAGTTTAAATAGCTTATGTAGTAAAAGTACAACATACTGTAAATGTCCACAGTAAGGCTGACATTTCAATCTGTTATTCTGTCTCTTGAGTTACAGGTTTATCAAAATCATTTAAGGTTCGCTTTCTGTCATCACAGTAATCTCATTGAGATGCTGAGCTACTGGTGAAAGCTCATTCATAATTTCTTGCAGCACATTTTAGGACAAACTGCATGAAGTGAGCTGTAAATTTTGGATTCAAGCAAAGAGATTTTTGCCCGGGGTATGTTCTTAATATTAAATAGCAGAAAAGAAAATGCCAACACTGATAAACAATATTCTCACGTATAACCCTCAAAAAATACTTGTATTTTTATTCTTCTATCAGCATCACTCCGTCATTTAACCCCAATAACAAAAATATATTTCCCTTTAATTTCTTGATTTCTGTATGGAAATGAGCTCAGAACCTCCAGCAATGTTGCTGTGCGTTACCCATGAACGATCACACCGTATCTGAGCCTGAATCGCTGGAACAGACTTAAAGTGCACGAGCCGAACATCACGTGCTCCTCAGTCCTGCGGCACATCGTCTGCTTCTATTGACCGCTCGAGCAGGAACGATTAATCAAACGGGTCAGTGCTGCATTTAGAGAATGCCAACGCACAAACCAGCAGGGAATGCCAATCAGCCACCCACAGTGATTGACAGGCATCGAAACAGCCGCCGACATGTCTGCCGTATCGGTTTTCTAGCAGGTGGGAGGTCGTTGGAACAGCAGAATCTTATAGGAAGCTCTGGGGACGGCTGTCCTCTGTCCTCACATATCGATGTGTTTATTTTTACAAAAGGAGAAGCCAATCATCCTAAAACTGGAACATGTGCACAGTTTGTCATGAAGTCTTCTCGAGGGAAATTTATTTATATTTGGTTTCAGATGCAGTTATACAGTTATTTGTGATCTTAAAGGTGTGCTGGAGCAAGAAAAGAGAATTAGATGCCTCTCTGTTGACAGTTTAGTTATTTCAAGCCAATGAAGCATCGGGGGTGATTTGCAGGAAGGGTCGCTCTGTTTTTTTATGGCTTCATTTGCTGAATCGCTGCTGCAACAAATAAAGCACCTTTAGGTTTTCAGCTTCTTAGAGAAACAAACTGCATCCCTTTATTTTTTTGATCAGCTGCACATCTGCCTCCCTGTGATAACACAGACTGATCACCTCCGTCGTTTGCAGGTGCTTGCACGTGTCGTTATTATGTACAAAAGCGCCAGCCTTCAGTCTCTATCCTGAATGAAATGTGCAGAGTGACCTTTTCCTCTGTACATTTCTATTTTCAATAAAAATCTTTTTTAAATGGAAACACCGAGCAGTGGATTTAAGCATGAGTGGAAACAGTCACCTGCTGCTTGAAGGTAACCTTGAGCTGGCCTTGACGAGGCGGCCGTATGTCGGGATCTCTCCTCTTTGGGAGCGGGACGTACTCCGACCGGCTCACCTCCTTCATGTCTCAGAGTAAATTAAATCCGACTCTGTCAGTTCATGAAATAAATTGATGTTGAAATCTGGCAATTTAGAGAAGGTCATTCGATGGCTTTCTTAAGTGATTTCAGGCAGCGGATGTCAGACTGATATTAAATTGAAGTATTTTAAAGGGGTAGAGTGGAAACTAGGAGAGGAGGGACATTTTAAAGAGGACAGACTGACCTCGGTGGTTTGTTCATTAAATGAAAGGTCAGCTTTCACGTAGATGGCCAGAAAAACAAAGCCGTGACAGAATGACTTGCACGAATGTCATGTTACCTGGAGTGATATTTCACTTCAGTCTAGTTCTGGCTTTCATTAGCTGTGTAAGTGTTGTGACTCAGTGCCGGCTGTCATCTGTGTTTACAGTCACATTACAGACCTCCCTGCGAGTTCCTATAACAAATTCTGATTCTGTCTGAGAACTTAAAGCATGAAGAGAAAATGAACGTCTGCCTGGGTTCAAGTTCAAGGTCGAACTTGAAGTGAAAAAGACGAGATGCACCGTTCATGAATATAATATACATTTAAGTGGATACTTAACCTGATAAATGTGAATTAGATGCAGTTTTGACTCTCACTAAAATTCTGATGCAAATACATTTAGACCATTGGGACCTATTTTATTTTCTAATATTCCAGCAAAAGTACGTCTTTGTGCTGATGATACTGTCATATAAACACATGCTCCCTCCAAGT